TTAAAGAGATTACTCCATTGTCTTCTGTCTTGCATTGTTTCTGACCAGAAATCTGCTTTAATATTTTTGTTCATTTTCGCATGTGTCTTTTTGCTCTTGTTGCTGTTAAGATTTTATTACTGGTTTTCAGCATTTTGATTATGATGTACTCTGATGTATTTTTATTCATATTTCTTTTATTTGGGGATTGTTGAGCTTCTTGGATTTGTATGTTTATAGTGTTTATTAAGTTTGGATAATTTTTGGCTAATATTTTTACTGTTCATCCACTTTTCTACTTTCATTTGGGACTCCAGTTACGTGCATGTTGGATCATTCGATATTTCCCATTCTTCTCCAGTACTGTTTTTTTCCCTTCTTCTCCTCCTCCTTTTTCTTCTTTTTCCTTTTTTCACTTTGTCATTTAATTTGGATAATTTCTATTGCTATATTATTATGTTTATTGCTATTTTCTTCTGCAGTGCCAAATTTACTGTTAACCATTTTCAAATGCCTTTACCTTAAATTATTGTTTGTTTCATCTTTAAAAATTTTAATTTTTTTTTTTTTTTTTGAGACGACGTCTCACTCTGTCACCCAGGCTGGAGTGCAGTGGCATGATCTCAGCTCACTGCAACCTCCACCTCCCGGGTTCAAGTGATTCTCCTGCCTCAGCCTCCTGAGTAGCTGGGATTACAGGTGAGCACCACCACACCCAGCTAATTTTTGTATTTTTAGTAGAGATGGGATTTCACCATGTTTACCAGGCTAGTCTCGAATGCCTGACGTTGTGATCCTCCTGCCTTGGCCTCCCAAAGTGCTGGGATTACAGGTGTGAGCTGCTGTGCCTGGTCAAAAATTTTTATAGTTTTTTTTTCTTTCCTTCTTTTGCTAATACTTTCATATACCTACCTGAACGTATAGAGTGTGTTTATATGATCTAGTTTAAAATTGTTAGCTAACATTAACGTTGTTAGCTAACATTAAAATTGTTTGCTAGTTTGATCGTTGATGTAATTTCTACATTTGTTGTTATTATTTGATATTTCCTCTGGTTGTGGGCCATATTATTTTGCTTACTTGCATGTTCGTACCTACTTGCCAACATGTGTTGTTATCTGTATAATTGTGGCCATCCTTGTGGGTTTGAAGTAGTATTTTGTTGTGGGTTTTGATTTGCCTTTTCCTGATGACAAAAGATGTTGAACATTTTTCTTTTTCTTTTTTTTGAGACGGAGTTTCACTGTGTCACCCAGGCTGGAGTGCAGTGGTGCATGATCTTGGCTCACTGCAACCTCTGCCTCCTGGGTTCAAGCGATTCTTGAGCCTCAGCCTCCCGAATAGCTGGGATTACAGGTGCCCACCACCATGCCCAGCTAATTTTTGTATTGTTATTAGAGACAGGGTCTCACCATGTTGGCCAGGCTGGTTTCGAACTCCTGGCCTCAAGTGATCTGCCTGCCTCGGCCTCCCAAAGTGCTGGGATTACAGGTGTGAGCTACCATGCCTGGCCACATTTTTCTGTTTTTAGAATTGGTTTTTACCTATTTATTTTTTAGAGACAGGATCTCACTTTGTTGCCCAGGCTGGAGTGCAATGGCATGCACATCTTTTCGTGTGCTTGCTGTTGATTTATGTATCTTATTTGGAGAAATGTTAATTCATATTCTTTTCCCATTTTTAGAGTGGTAGAATTTTTAAAAAAATATATATTCTGGATATAAACTCCTTATTAGATACATGGGTTGCAATTTTTTTCTTCCATTTTGTTTTTTTTCCCTATTTTCTTTATGGTGTCCTTTGAAATAAAAGTTTTACATTTTGACGAAGTCCTGTTTACCTAGGTTTTTCTTTGGTTGGTTGTGTTTTTGGTGTCAAATCTAAAACTATTTTGTTACCTAAGGTTATGAACATTCGTTGTTATATTTTCTTTGAAGAGTTACGTAGTTTTAGCTATTACATATAGGCCTTTGGTCCACTTTGAGTTAACTTTCATACATAGTGTAAGATAGGGGTCCAACTTCATTTTCTTACATATGGATATCTAATTGTCCCAGTACCATTTATTGAAAAGACTATATCTTCTGGCCAGGCGCGGTGGCTCATGCCTGTAATCCCAGCACTTTTGGAGGCCGAGGCGGGTCGATCACAAGGTCAGGAGATCGAGACCATCCTGGCTAACATGGTGAAACCCCTGTCTCTACTAAAAATACAAAAAATTAGCCGGGTATGGTGGTTACGCTACTATTACGTTTTTTAGAGACAGGAATCTCACTGTTTTGTTGCCCAGGCTTGGAGTGCAATGCATGCACATCTTTTTCGTGTTGTTGCCTGTTGATTTCATGTATCTTATTTTCGGACGAAATCGTTCAATCTCATATCATTTTCCCATTTTTAGAGTTGGGTAGAATTTTAAAACAAAGTTATATTCGTGGATAAAACTCCTTATTATGATTACTGGGTTGCAATTTTTTTCTCTCCATTTTTGTTTTTATTTCCCATTCTTCTTGTATGTGGCGTCGCTTTGAAAATAAAAGTTTTACATTCTTGACCGAAGTCCTTTTACCTAGGTTTTTCTTTGGTTGGTTGTGTTTTTGGCTGTCGCAATACTAAAACTATCTTTGTTTACCTCAAGCGGTATGAAACATTCGTTAGTTAATTTTCTTGGAAGAGTTACCGTAGTTTGTAGCTATTCACATAATAGGCCTTTGGTCCACTTTGAGTTAACTTCAGATACATAGCTAAGATAGGGTCCACTTCAATTTTCGTTAATATCGGATATCTTAATTGTCCCAGCCTAACATTTATTGAAAAAGACTATATCTTCT